CTTTATTGTGCATGCGGAAAGCGGCGTCCACGTGACCCAGATGATGAAATTCATCTAGTTCCTTGAATGTACCATTTGCGAGCTCAGAGGGGCCGGAGAAACCCTTCCACAAATGGTCACCTGTCAACGTTGAAATGAAAGTCACTATTCAAATTACAACAAATGCAGACATGCATGGTAGGAGACGGTCTTTGCACCAGGCCTGCTGCCTATGGCCCCCATGAGCCAAGGGCCCATGAAAACTGAAATGAATCACCCCTCCCCCATTACTGTATTTGGCCTAGAGCCCCAGAATCACTAACTCCACCCCTGCCCTAAATATATTTTAGAGAGTAAGACTGGTGGAATAATTCCTTTAAAAAAGAAAAAGTTTGATCACTATCTGAAGTTAATGCTATATCTCTAATGCTAGCTAGCACAGATGTATTTAGTAGCCTCTAGACCAGGATGTGATCAGTGCATTATCGATTCCCAATGGTTGTATAATGTGTGTGATGTATGCTGGGTACTGTAGTGAGAGAACACTGATTAAAGAAAACATGAAAACAATACAAAACCGTAAATTCTGCCAAATAACAAACAAATAACATGTTAAATGCTAGTTGTAGGCCAGAATGCTCCTTTAAGTGGACGTTCTTTAAACTTCAAATAGTTTTTTTCGTATTTCCACATCTCATTCATAAAAAATGAAACATTTGAAAGGTTCTTTAGGGAAGCAAAAAAAAAAAACTTCCATTGTACATTTAAAGAACCCCTTCATTTCTAAGAGTACAACTGCTTCTATTAGTTGCTCAATAGTCTAAATAGTTGTCTAACTGAAGTGCTGGCTTCTGGGTGCATTGTGGCGGTCAACCTCACAGAATGGACATGTTAACTAAGCTGAGAAAGAAAATATATTTAAAAAAAATAAGAGCATTAAATTAAAGGTTGTGTAACGTCGCTAAAAACCTTTGAAAAAGAATGTTTGTCCTTTCTCGTCAGGGACAATGGCATCAAACTCGATGCCCTCGCAGCGGTCGAGCTTGGCATGGTGATGGGAATCTTCTTGAACATGTGGATGATCTAAAAAGGAGCATTTATCTGAATTAATTCATTATAAATTAGATCAGTATATTTCATATGTAAAAGACAATTCTACCAAATTTCTGCATGATTAAATGGTTAAGATGTAAACAATGTCATTCAGAGTGGTTTGACTGAAATGCTCTGTTCTAGAGAAACTTACTGAGTCAGAGATTTTCACAATGGTGATGACAGGAACCAGATCGTATTTTGGCAAAATATATATTTATTTTTGCCCTATTCTCAGTGGGGAGATATATGCAAGGTGGTGTAAGGCAAAATAATTCCCAATGTTTCATATTTACCACTATTTTACTAATATTAAAATTACATATAACTCACAAAACACATGTAGGTTCACTAGTGGTTTGGACAGTAAATAAAATGGCTATATTTTTTTATTATAAAAAAAAAGCATAATTGCAAGAAAGCAAAAATATTTACTTTTAATGTAAGTTAATGCAAAGAGATTGTATTTCAAGCAATTTTGCATTCGATTGATCCTTTCACCGTTAAAATTTTACACCATGTAAATGGCAGCTGATGTTCTCAAATCACATCAAAAAATGAAAATTAACAATATTTGACAGTGACAATATTTGTGTTGTAGATATTGGTGACCCCGGTTCCTATCACCACCACTGTAAAAAAATCCAAGTCAGCAAATTTTTCTAGAATGAAGCATTTCATATCAACCACTCTGAATGACTTTACTTACATCTATATGATTGAATTATACAGAAAACCTCATCATTTCTCAAAGATAACAATAAATCTGGCATAAAAACAAAATAGAGAAAAAAAGAAAGAAAAAAGGAAAAAACTGGTACACATGTTTATACCTGCAATCATAACATCATGGTGGCTGTAATACAAAGAGAAAGACCACATTAGGATTTTATTAGTTAAAATACAGTTGATAAATTGCTTGTTATACATGAAGCAAAATAAAAGAACGGAAAGACAATACATTTGAGGTAAACCATAGGGGGGCTGAACATAAGCTGAAGGCCAACAACATGACTCAGTGAAAAAACATGCTGAACTAGACAGTTGACTTTGACCACTGTGCATCTGCAGTATTGATCTGATGCTGTACTCTGCAAACTAACCAAGAGAATACAAACACTGACAGAAAGAGAAGCAAACATAGAGAACCAAAGGCTGTATACAGAGGATTATGAACAAATATAAATAGAAAACCCTGCACTTATTTTACAGCACACGAAAAGTCAAGTTAAAAGTGTGGGGTTAGATCTGGGATAGATCTGCAATACATCTCAGCTTTCTTTAATCACTATCAGCATTTGGAGATACTCACGCTGGAGCTGCAAAGCTTGGAGCCAGAGCCAAGCACCCGCAGAGGAACACCAAGAGCTGCTTCATGATCAGCCGTCCGTTTGAACCAGATCAGCTGTGTGCAGTAAAAGGTACTTTAAGTGGAGAAAGACCCAACTTTTATATTGATTCTCTGGATGGGAGGGTGCAGCAGGAGGCCGTCTCTGTTTCTAGAAGAATTTGGTGACACAGTTTACTGACAGAGCCCAACAGACAAAGGGTAAAGAGTGCCCTGTTACAAAAAATTCTGGGATTAGGCAATCAACTCTCATGCCAATGGTCAAAGTGCATTTTTTTAGAGGATGGGCATTAGTTATGGTCACAATGAAAAAAAAATGTTGTTGTTATCACAAATAAGTATTTATTTATAAATTAGGGATAACAGATTGGGGAAGTTTGAGCTTTCCTATTGTTTGCCAAGACCTTGAACTGACCCTGAATGCTCATTTGGAACGAGCAAAAAAAAAAAAAACGTGCATTCATTGCCACAGAACACAGTGCTCTTTTGTGTACTGTTGTTACACTGAGTCAAGGGTGGTGCAATCCCAGTAAATCCCACTTTTATGACCTGCTGAGTCATAAAATATTCTATCAAACAGTGTTTAAATCTGTGGTAACACGTTATTCGGAGTGGTCCTTTACTGATTATTAATAAATTCTTAACAGATTATCAGTTACGCATCAACAACATATCAGTAAAGTAGCAGTAGTGAAGCCTCTGAGTACATTGAAGTCAATATCTTGTAGACGTACTGTTCATACGCTACTTACATTGAGTAGATGTATTGTTTATATATTACTTCCATTACACAAAACCTAACCTGACCCAACCTTACACGAAACCTAACCCTCACCCTGGCCCTAACCCTAACCCTAACCTGACCCAACCTTACACAAAACCTAACCCTCACCCTCACATATTTATGACGTCTATGGGAGTCCGTTGGGTGTTTGTTTCTTCCAAAAGGACCACTTAAAATAAAGTGTCACTGAATCTCTAATTAAACTTTAGTCTTAATCATGATTATTGATGCAGAAAACAAACACAAACATACCGTTATTGATGCAAAGCACCATTCCTCTTTAGTGCCCCTGGTGTTCTGCTAGATCCAGCTAGATTAGACATTTTTAGCTAATGTAACATCTTCTTTGACACTGTCCCAACAGTCTTTCCAGAACCAGTGAAATTAAATGATAACTTGGAAATAAAAGAGTCGGGCTTACCAATCATAAAGTACAACTACTGTATAGTATCACAGAATACCCCTCTGGATGATTTAACAACAGATTTTATCTAACAGACCGAATAAATGAGAAAGGCATATTTGTACCCCTAAAAACTAATCAGAGTAAGGTGTCCTGGGGAGCCTATTCATTTTTGCCAAGGCCTCAGAAAAAAAAAATGTTGACCTCCACTGTTACAAACGAGGTACTGTTCACTCTTTGAGAGAGTTTCATAGTGGAGAATCAGCGGATCAACCCCAGCATAGTATTCTCAGCATTGGCTGTATTCCAACAAAGTAAAGAAAATACAGACTGGAAAAAGATAAACTGTGACACAAACCAAGAATTAAATAATGTAACCAAACAAAGACCTCACAGAGACAGCTAGAAGCAGAGGAGTATACATGTGGGAGGTAATGAGTCCAGAAAGTGAGCTGCAGGTGTGTTAAATTAATGGGTTGTTTCAAGGAGGAACTGGACAAGAAAAACAGAAACAGTACCATGCAGGTCCAGGAGGGGGAGCTTGTGACATACCTGACTGGTTCCTTCATAGAGCAATTTCCAAACAACTGAAGATACCGCAAGCATCTGTACAAACAATCATGTGTAAATATGAAAAACTGGGACCACATGACATGTTCAGGAAAGAAGGCACAAATGACAACAACAAAGGAACTGGTGAAGGAATTGGAGGCAGAAAAGTATTCATATACACCATATAGAGAGTCCTACATCCCCATGGCCTGAAAGGCTGTAACACAATGAAGAAGCCACTATTTCAAGACCAGCTCAAAAAAGCCAGACTAGTGTTGTGTTGTCTGATCAGATTACAAAACTGTTTACCCGTAAGGATCGGGGTCACAACCAGGTCTTTCCTCAGAACAACTGATTTCTTCAAAGTTGTGACAAAATGAGTTAAAGACAACATGGAAGTTTTGGAGTGGCCATCACAAAACCCTGACCTGAATCCCACTCAGTTTAGTCCAAATTTGTAGACCAAACTGCAAAAATATTTTGAGAACCCATACAGAAATCTAATATATGGCAATATTTCAAATATATTGCATATAAATGCATTTCCCTTAGATCCAGCATGTATTTGTCACATTTGGATATAAATATTTGCTTATTTATTCAGCTTTTTTGAAATTATATACATTGCAAACCAACTACAGTGGACTATTTCCATCAAGTGTCATTAAAATACACCTTTGTAGACCTTTTTATTCATAAGTAATAAGAAGTGATTCCTATATGACATCTATGAAATGTCCCTGATATTCCCATATAGAGTCAGGTTTCACCATGTGCTGAGGCTGTGCACTACTACTGCATCACTATTTGTTGTCTGACATGTTACCTCTGTTGATAGTGCTGTTGGGTGTTCTCGAGAGAATCACCAGGCTGTCTGCTGGTACCGCCTAGAGTCTCACAAGATGCTTATCTATGGACGCTTCACTCCATTTCCTACTGTCCAGGGACAGCAACCAGGTCTGTGGTCTTGGGTAACTGTACTGTTCCTCTCTTTCCTTTTGTCTTTCACCATCTGTTCTGCCCACATTGTAAAGGGCTACTAGTCTAGACCCCATCATTAATGCCTATGTTAGTAACCCAGGCTGAAGTCAGTTTGTATAACAAGGCAGATTCTAGGCATGACCTCTTTACATTTGAGAACCAGAGTGCTCAGGCCTCAAACAGAGAGCAACCCCTAAGTGAACCCCTCCAAACCTCTTCCAGGTTCTCCACTGAAGGCCAGATGGTTGCCGGCCTCTTGACTCAAGCATCTCAGGAGTCCCAAGTCACCCAGCCTGAATACTTCAAAGAAGTCTAGTGCCCAGTGTAAATCTCTGGTCTCCTCAGGACTTGCAAACATGTGGACTTAACAAACTGGCTGCTTCAGTGCTGCCACCTTGTGCCAAGGTTGATGCAATTTTTTAGTGTTGGTCTCTACAGCACTTTCTGGTGTCCTACAGGCTACCACAGTACCACTTGTTACTTTCAAACTGGGTTCAGTCCAGGCTACATCTCTGCTGAGATTAATGTTCTGCCACGTTAAATGCATTTTTTGTGCTTATAAGCTGACTAGCATTAGCAGAATGTTAGAAGAGAATGTAATTCTGCTTTGATTTTTCAGGAAGAGAAAGCTTGGAGGCACAAATTCCTGCAGCGTTAGTAGTTACCATTAGTTATATTTCCATGCACCACGACATCTGTTGCTCTACCCTTCTCTGTATTGGCAAGAAATCATTTGTGTCTTGTTATAGACAGAGAAATACTTTTTAACCCCTTAACCCAGGGTCCACTGACAGGCCCAAAGTTTTATTATACACTTCTGTAGCCTAAGAATGGCTCAACTAGTTTGCATTGAAGTCCCTGTAGTTACTGAATAATAAGCCTTAGTATGTCTTAAGCCTAGGATTTTAATGAATCAATCCCTCAGGAGAAATCTGTGCCACAGCAGTGCACAAACAAAAAACAGAGACATATTTACTCATTGCTGTGCACAGACATAGTGCAATATACCAGTGAGGAACATTACATATAGTACACAGTAAACATTACTATGGTATACACATATGCATGTATGTATCTATGTTAAATATGGCTTCATTACATCATTGGACTTCCTCTTGGATATCTATTTCTCAGATCCTCAGTCAGCATTACTGCAGTTTCAGATTGACTGTTTATGTAAGGAAGTGAAATTCTGTCAACAGCATTTTTCACCTTCCCATTCTTCATACTATAGTCTTGCACTTTTATTTTTATTGACAGAGCATAAATATATTTTAATAACTAATCATTTTCCCCAGTAGTTTAATTTTATCCAGTTGAATGGATTATTTTTTAAATACTGTGCTAAGGTAAGTGCTGCAGCTATTTCATTTCAGGACACAAAATATAATACAATATCTTGTGTCTATCTTTAATTTGTCAACAAGATTTTAAAGCCACAATAAAAAGCGAGCAGAAATCACATTTTGACATTTGGTGAGCAGTTTTGTTTTGCAGATATGGATTCTATCTTTATCTCTAAAGTAATGTATAGGCTAGATAGGCCATATAACAGGATTATTACTCTGCAGCTGCCATGGTTAAAGGTTGTGTTCTGCATTTAGTCAAACTACTGCCTTTTTTCTGTTACTGTAACGAAATACAGTTGCCATTTTTTTGTGACCTAATTATGCAACACTGTTACACATACTCAAGTCTGCATATTCCTCTCTGAATATATCTGTACAAAAGTTGAGGAACATACAGTTTCATTAATGAATCATTAATGACTCATGATTCAAAGTTCAAAGTTTATTTAAGACTTTTTTGGCTACATGCAAGTTCTAATGAGTGTATTAGACTACATTTTAGCTTAGTCATGCATATTCGTCCTAATAAGCCAGCTACCAATGATCAATGATGTTTTTGTTGTTGTTTTACCTAGAATTGGTAAAAAATCATGTGTGAACATATGTGAACAATACACACTGTTTGCACTGCGTTACTGCTGCAGTTTGAAATTTCAAATGTCAGATTTGCATTCATTTATAGATAAACTGAAGCGAGAAGTGATATCCAGCAAGAATATTCAACATCATCTTGTTAGATATCTTGGTCTTTAGACTAAGCTGACTGGGCTAACTGTCTACAAACTCATTTCACATTACCCTGCCTAAAGGACTTGTGCATCAGGAGCAATGGATTTTCCACTTTTCAAACAACGGAAGTGTCCAACACATCCTTAAAACTCAAAACTCTGGATTTGTCCCAAAATCCTTTGAAAGTCTTCAAGGTCACTTCTAATATTTTTCCTGACCTTGAGATTTTAGACCTGACCTTCATCAGGTAGTATGAAATGGGATGTGAAGGACAACAGCTTCTTCAGGAATGTCAACAGACTCAATTTAAATGGTATAAAATGGCATCAGAGTAGCTTAAAAGCAAATCTTCACTGGGCGTGTGGGTGTGTTGACACTTGAACAAATTGGAGAAGAGAGAGTGAAACCACTGGTTGAAGCTGCCTCTATAATTAATTCACCGAAAACTCTTCAGCTGCTGTTCAACAACATCACTTTCATTTCAGAAGAAGGACTACAGTTCTGCACTAATGTGACAATGCTGGGTTTCTCAGACAACAATCTCCAAAACGTGAGTATACTCGCATTCAGATCAATGAAACAAACTGAAGGCTGTTCTCATTGTCATTAGAAATATTTCTACCTTGGAAATTCTAGAAATCAGCCACAGTAACATTACAAAACAAACACACTTAGATCTTTAAAACCCTGAGAAATTGTGAACACTTCATATTTGCTGAAATGATTTGCGAGTAGTACAACTCAATTCCAAAACATTTAGTACAGAATGTGAAATGCTTAGTCAACTCTGTTTGGTCTGGATTAAACTGAAAACATGCCTGCAAAATGTTTCCCGAAAAAGTTGGGACATTTAGCATTTAGCACTGTTAGTTCGCCTTTCTGATTAACAGCACTTAGTAAACAACTGGGGACTGAAGCCATAAACTGATCCAGTTTTGAGAGCGTAATTTTTCACCATTCTTCTTTTGTAGAAGTCACCAACTGTGCAATGATACAGAGCCTTTGTTGTTATATTCTGAGCTTAATAGGCACTAATTTTCAATAGGACACAGGTCTGGACTGCAGACAGGCCAATCTCTGACTACTCAGCCATGCAGGGGTCACATGTGGTTTGGTGTTGTTATGTTGAAATAAGCATGGACGTTAATGTTTCCATTGTGAAAGTGCCTAAAAGGCAGCTCCAAAATGTGTTAATGGTGATTTCACAAATGTACAAGTTACCCACTAATAACCCCCAAATCCTGACAGACCCTGCTTTTGAATTTTACACTGGTACGAATCTGGATGCTTCTTTACTTCTTTTGCCTAAAGAACACAACATCCATTATTTACATAAACAGTCTGAAAGGTTGACTCATCAGACCATTTTACGTTTCCATTATGCCTCAGTCCATTTCAGATGAGCTCGCCAGCATTGTTGACATGTGACTTCTGCTGTGCATAGTACAGTCTTAACCTGCAGTTGTGGATGCAGTGACGGACAATGTTTACTGTCAATGATTTGTCAAAATATTCCTGAGCCCTTGTGGTGATATCCATCACAGAAGCATGCCAGGTTTTATTGCAGTGCTGTCTGACGGATCAAACGTCATGGACATTCATTTGTGGTTTTTGGCCTTTTCCTTTATGCACAGAGATTCATCTACATTCCCTGAATCATGTGATGATATAATGAACTTTAGAGGGTCAAGTACCTAAAATACTTGTAATCCATGGCTGAGAAACATTATTTCAAACCTGATGGAGTTTTGCTGCTGCATTTTTGGCTCATGGCTTGTGGCTCTTGTAGACCCATCTTTGCTCACAAAGGACTAGGCCTTTTTTGGATGCTTTATACCCTAGTATCACTATATCACCTATTAACATATTTTTGTACATGTATTTTGTATAAATGTATAAGCTCATTTCCAAAAAAGTCGGGATGCTCTGCAAAACATAAATAACAACAGAATGCTATACATCATATACAAATCATTTAAACCCTATGTTTAATTAAAAACAGTTCAAAGACAACATACCAAATGATGAAACTGAGAAATTTTATTGTTTTTTGAAAAATATTTGCCCATTTTGAATTTAATTCCAGCAGCACATTTCAAAAAAGTTGTGGTGATTCATTGGCAACAGGTCAGTAACATATGTGGACATAAAAGAGCATCCCAGAGAGGCTGAGTCTTTCAGAGTTAAAGATGGGGAGGGGTTCACCACTCTGTGAAAGGCTGCTCAGGCAAGAGTGGAACAATTCAAGAAAAACATTTCTCAATGTAAAATAGCAAAGAACTTGTGTATTTAATCATATGTGGTACATAATATCATTAAAAGATTCAGAAAATATGGAGAAATCAAGAGACAAGCCCAAAAACCAGTATTGGCTGGCTGTGATTTTTGGGCCCCGAGATGGCACTGCATTAAAAACAGACATGATTCTTTAGTGGAAACCACTGCATGGGTTCAGGAACACTTCTAAAAAACACTGTCTGTGAACATAGTTCATCACTACATCCACAAATGCAAGTTAAAACTATAGGAAACCGTATATAAATAGGATCCAGAAACACCACCACCTTCTCTGGGCTTGAGCTCATTTAAGATGGACTGAGGCAAAGTGGAAAAGTGTCCTGTGGTCTGACAAATCAACATTTGAAATTCTTTTTGGAAATCATGGACTCTGCATCCTCCAGGCTAAAGACAATCTGGCTTGTTATCAGTGCACAGTTCAAAAGCCAGCATCCATGATGGTCTGGTGGGGCAATTGTGCACATGGCAAGAGTGACTTGCACACCTGTGAGGGCACCATTAATGCTGAACGATATAAACATGTTTTGGAGCAACATGTGCTGCCATCTAAACAAAGGCCTTAATTGTTTCAGCAAGACAATGACAAGCCACATTCTGCATGTATTACAACAGAATGCTCTGTGGTAAAAGAGTCCGGGTGCTAAACTGGCCTGACTGCAGTCCAAACCTGTCACCCACTGAAAACATCTGGTACATTACGAAACGGAAAATACGACAAAGGAGACCCTGAACTGTTGAGCAGCTAAAATCCTATATAAAGTAAGAACAGGAAAAATTTTCAGTTTCAAAACTACAGCAGTCGGTCTCTTCAGTTCCCAAACGCTTACAGAGTGTTGTTAAAAGAAGAGGTGATGCAGCACATGCCCCGTCCCAACTTGGAATGTGTTCCTGGTATTAAATTCAAAATGGTCATATATTTGTCAAAAAACAATAAAATTCTTCAGTTTCAACATGTGAAATGTTGTCTTTGTACTATTTTCAATAAAATTTAGAGTTTGAGTGGTTTGCATATCATTACAATTTTTATTCACATTTTGCAGAGCATCCCAACTTTTTTGGAAACGGGGTTATAAATGGCCATCACTGGACTGCCCTTCATAAATTACAGTATTTGCAGGTGGCATGTAATAAACATCAATACATAAAGTAGATTTCTTAATATAATACAGAAATTAAAAAAAATTAAGGGTGGTCATCGACTTTACACAGTACTGTACGTTAATGTTTAGTGCCAGTGCTTAACTGGGCACTAACAGGCACTTCATTCATTACTAGTTGCTGGATTGCTGTGAAAGAAAATGCGTTTTAATAGTCACGTGTATGTATTTGTGTATGCTACATCTGCACAGATGAATTTTGGTATGTCTTTATTTTCAAAATGCTGACAGTTCTGTTTATTTCCATTCATTTATAGATGAACTGAAGTGGGACGAGATATTCAGCAAGAATATTCAACATCATCTCTTTAGATATCTTGGTCTTTAGAGTAAGCTGACTGGTCTAACTGTCTCGTTTGCTAATTATTATCATATTAAGAACATGCAATCCTTAATAGGAGGGTTTCATTTAAAAATGTCCATTTGCCTGCTGTTTCTATTAACCATTTCCATACACGTAAATGGATTCTTTGTGAAAAACTGCAAGGTTGTGGGCTCCTTAAGACAATCCAATACTTTGAAAGTACTTTGTACTAGGAAAGGACTTTACACTGTACCAGAAAAACTACCCTACAGAACAAGAGTCCTGGACCTTTCCAGAAATGAGATCTCTAAGGTGATGAATAACGATTTAGTGCATTTATCCTTTCTCACCAATCTGAATATGTCACACAACCAGATTAAGGTCATAGAGGAAAATGCATTCAACAATTTGGTGGCATTGCAGCAGCTGAATCTTGCCTACAACAAACTCACTACAATCCCAGATAGACTCTTTCAGAATCTGTCTTACCTGACTTACCTTAGACTGGATGAAAATCGCATTGCAAAGATCAACCCTTCTGCTTTTCTTCCTCTTACCAGTTTGGTAATGTTAAATGTCTCTGGAAATAGCCTACACCATATACAAGAAGTGCAACCTCTTTTCACATTACCCTGCCTAAAGGACTTGTGCATCAGGAGCAATGGATTTTCCTTTTTTCAGACAACGGAAGTGTCCAACACATCCTTAAAACTCAAAACTCTGGATTTGTCCCAAAATCCTTTGAAAGTCTTCAAGGTCACTTCTAATATTTTTCCTGACCTTGAGGTTTTAGACTTGGCCTTCATCCGTGGAAGTATGAAATGGGATGTGAAGGACAACAGCTTCTTCAGGAATGTCAACAGACTCAATTTAAATGGTATAAAAATGGCATCAGAGGAGATGAAAGTGTTGCTGCAAACCTTTAGTTCTTCACTGGGTGTGTTGAAACTTGAACAAATTGGAGAAGAGAAAGTAAAATCACTGGTTGAAGCTGCCTGTATAATTAACTCACCAAAAACTCTTCAGCTGCGGTTCAACAACATCACTTCCTTATCAGAAAAAGAACTACAGTTCTGCACTAATGTGACAATGCTGGGTTTCTCAGACAACAATGTCCAAAATGTAAGTATACTCGCATTCAGATCAATGACCAAACTCAGAATTCTGAATCTGTCTCACAACAAACTGAAGGCTGTTCCCTTTGCCATTAGAAATATTTCCACCTTGGCAATTCTAGAAATCAGCTACAATAACATGACAACAATAACACGCTTAGATTTTTCAAACCTTAAGAAATTGTTAACACTTCACGTTTACAGAAATGATCTGCGAGTTGTAGAAGATTTTGCCTTTCGAGACCTTAAGAACTTAAGGTCCCTCATCATTAGTTCGAACAAATTGCTAAATATAAATGGCAATCTCTGGTTTGGCCTTCGTAAATTGGAGTATTTGCAGTTGGCAAGTAACAAACTGAGCTGGATTCAGAAAGGCGATTTTAAATATTTACAGAGCTTGACAAGACTAGATCTAGATGATAACCAAATCCAAATTATAGAGACTGGGGCCTTTGATGGTTTAGTCTGTTTAAAATTCCTAAACCTACAATCAAATAAGATCACCCAGAAATCAATACGTTCTTCCATTTTTTCAGGACTTAAAAGTTTACAAACTCTTCAGTTAAACAACAATTACATATCTTATGTGAGCCAAAAGAGGCTGAAAAAACCACCCTTTACATCTCTAACCTCTTTGGAGTTTCTGAGTATTTACAATCAAGGCCACAAAGGGATGATGAATATCCCTTTAAATTTCTTGGAAGGACTGAATTCTTTAAGGACTTTCAAGGCACGAAATCTCAACATTGACTCTCTACATCCTCTCACATTCGCTCCAACACCTAATCTTACATTTCTGGACCTCAGTAGAAATGAACTGATTTCTTTTTCCTCAGAGGTTTTTCTGCCTATTCAACATCTTACCAGACTTTCTATGAGCAAAATTGGATTGCAATCGATTGACTTTCTTAGGCAAGCGAAACTCACTGAGATTCAGATGTTGACGATACAGAGGAATGCCTTATCATTCATTAATGGCAGTGTGATAGCTTCCCTTCCGAATTTAGTTTACCTCAGCATGGAAGGGAATATGTTCTCTTGTGATTGCAACAACGCTCTGTTCATTAGTTGGGCAGAAAGCGACAATAATACACAAGTTTTAAATGCAGATCAGTTCAAATGCAACTATCCACCCAAACTCAGAGGAAGTAAACTTATTAAGCTTGACCTCAGTTCATGCATTGTACATGTAGGGTTCTCCTTTTTTATTTCTACTGCCACTTCAGTCCTTCTAACAATGATTAGTGCCTTGCTTTACCACTTTCTGAGATCGCAAGCTGTCTATGCCTATTACACTTTCCTAGCATTTGTCTATGACAGCAAATGGCAGAGAAAGCAAAAAGCTCACAGTTTTCAATATGATGCTTTTATTTCCTACAATACCCATGATGAACTGTGGGTCATGAGTGAGCTGTTACCTCACCTAGAAGGAGAGCAGGGTTGGAGATTGTGTTTGCATCACAGGGACTTCCAGCCAGGCAAGCCAATTATAGAGAATATTGTAGATAGCATTTATGGCAGTCACAAAACTATCTGTGTGATCAGTCGCCACTATCTAGAGAGTGAGTGGTGTTCCAGTGAGATCCAGCTGGCCAGTTTCCGAATCTTCGATGAAAAGAAGGACATTCTCATCTTGGTATTCCTGGAGGATATTCCAATGCATCAGCTGTCTCCGTTTCATAGGATGAGGAGACTTATAAAGAAACGGACTTACCTCAGCTGGCCCAAACCAGGAAAGGACTCTCAAGTGTTCTGGCAGAAACTGAGAGTGGCTCTGGAGACCAGAGGGGCTGAAGAAGAGAATCTTATTCTGTAAATTTTAGTGGGCCAGTGATCAAAGCAGTTATTTTAATGTGAGGAAACTGCAGTGACTTTGGTATAGTGGTCATAGCAGTTGAGACAGTGTATTGGGTGACATCATTGCCCTCCAGTGGCAGAGTGGGGTTTGATTCTCTGCCTGGGCAAGCCCATCACCCTGCATCATGCTAGACCACAGATGTTCCTAGCTGAGGGTCCATGACCTTCAGCACTGACCATTTGCTTCAACAATGAATAAAACTGATACTTCAGTATTTCCATGTCATGTTTAATCTTGTTTTGCGTGGATTTGGACGGGCACATTTGGGTTCATTTAGTAAGATTTTTACACTACAGTGGTCTCTGAACCCAGGGCAGATGTGGTCTTGACTGCAAATGTGAGCCCAGCTATCAAAGGCAATTGTTTTCTTCTGATCCTTTTCTTTCTTGATGTTACTCTTCCATGTGGCATGCCATAAATTCCTGTTCTTTGTACTGTGAGGACTGTGTGTTTCAAATTGTTTGAAGGGTATAAGGCACATGTGTCAGGATCCAGTCCTTGTAGGCCAAAACACTGCAGACTTCAGCACGCTGCCTCATTAACACCTGATTCAGCTTATTAGCTAATTAGCAAGGCCTTCATAAACACTGATCTCTGCAGCACTTTGGCCCAGAAGGTCCCCAGTTTGACACGCCTGGTGTAAGGTGTGAATAAAATGCTGTTATTTGTTGATTGTAAGTAATCGACGATGCATCATTGTGCCTATCACATTTACTTGATTACTGTTTGTTGTCATTGTTGCCATTTGTTATCTTTGTTACCCATCTCTTGTTACCTGGTTTTCTACTACTTGCCCTGTATTGCTGCTGGTTGTTTAACTCTTGGCTAAATAATACATTTTGTTAATGGTTTGCCTCTGCAGTTGCTCAACTGCCTATTGTCATCAGCTGTAAAAGTTCAGAATCACTTTTTCAATGATGTAAGTCATTTTTTAAAAGATACATATAACTCTAATATGAGACTATGACTGCAACACTTTATGAGTTTTAATTAAAGCTGTAAAAATAAAGACATGTCTGGAATGATGGACAGAGCTGTAGATTGTTTTAAATGATCCAAGGAAGCATAGTCAGAATGTCTCATATTTTAAAAGAGGTGATCTCAAGGCAGATAACTCATATAGACAGATAGATTTAATACCCTTTAGATAATTACAGTATTCACCATTTAATAACTTCTTGGGTTGCCAGAAAAATTATAATATTGAATAAAAGAATCTTAAAGTACCTTCTGATTATTTAATAAAATGATAGCAATCATTAATATGACAAGTGATTCCAAACTTTTGAATGCTGGGGTACCATATATGCTCAAAAGGGACTGGTCCCAACATGTGAGCCATTTTTGCGTTTGAATGGTCTTATATATTAGGCAACTTTTTAACCATTTAAATAAGTATTAATAAGCATTCTAAATATAACTGTATCCATTATGCTAACTAGCCTTTGGTTTGTATTTGTGTGCTGGGCTGGGCTGGTTAAATAGTTTCAGACATTTCCATTATTTGTGGTAAGAATATCTGGTGATGCAACCGTGTAAGGGTTCGCCCTTTCATTGTGACGCTAAGTTCGATCCCCGGTGATGCCACAGCCATTTATAACTTGGAATCCAACAGCAACAGCTGGCCCTGGTCTCTCTCTCCTTCTGTCCCTCAGGGTGCACTCAGTATGTCCCGACTTGATCAGTAAAGCTTATTGATGACCAAACCAAATGTTGTGTACCAAAACTAAAATGTCTGTTTTCTTCTTTGTAAGCTTGCACCACTTACTACTGTTGTTCTACAGATGTTAACTGTAATTTAAGATTTAAATTGAAACAACAAATGTCTCTTACTGTGTGGCTGTACTCCTCTGTACCATAATCCTTATTTGCACAACTGTACAATATTCTTTTTTATAACAAATATTCATATCATTCTGTAAAATATTATAATAAGTACTAATTATTATATGTCTCCCCAGGCCCTGCACATATGTACATGTCACATTTTCTTCTCTTACATTGGCCTCACAATATATACTCTCTTATTCTTTATATTCTTAATTCTTTTTTTTTATTTTTATTTTTATTTGTTATTCTTACTTATATATATTATTTTCTTTGGAATATTAGTTAATACTCTGTGTATGTGTCTGGTCTGTTTAGTATGTTATATGTAATACTTGTGTGCACATTGACATTAAGTCAAACTCCTCATATGTGTAACATACTTGGTGAAATAAAGTGATTCTGACTCGGAGGCAGGTACAAGCATTTTATTGGTGTGTAACAGCAAGCACTGTTTTTACCTATTTACTCAGATGTACTTTGTTAGAAGTTGTGGAATATCAAATATCAGTGATACATGTATTTTTGTCATATTAAGCTTCATTTTGTGATTGAGAACACAAATGCACTTGTCACCCAGAGACTCTGAACAGCACACTCAGTTTATTTCATACTAAGTAAAAGGTAACATAACACTGTTAAATATTGATCACAAATGAACAAAATATTATAATTCACTATAATTACCTTAGTGAACAATGAGAAGTTAAAATGAAATTTTATATACTTAAATGTATGTCTTAATATGCCATAGCTAGACTATGCCCAGGAGATACTGACATAGCATTTCACAACATTTTTCTTCACAATACTTGTGCTGGAACCTCTGCACTGCCCGTTTTGATCTTTTTCTCTGCCCCGAATACCCTTGATTGAACTCATCATCTATTAACAAACCTTAGATGAAAGTCTTATAATGTATAATAGCAAGGAAAACAATATAAATGTCCAGGGACGGGGGGTGACAGTTTTACAGCTGAAATATTAAAAATATACAATGCTTTGTAATATGTTTTATTTTCTTCCAGTAATTACTTAAAAATAGTTATGAATCAAATCCAAACATCAAAGAATACATATTAAACATAATAAGCACTGATTTAAGTATATGCATACATAAAACAAACCTCTTTATTAAGCTCTTTGAATATTTCGCTGAGAAAGACACTAAACATGACTTATTTCAAGTAATTATTGTTATTAATCTGGAAAAGTCAGTAATTCAACAAGCAGCAAATCTCTTTCCTAAAATTCTATGTGGATTACTGTGATTTAATAGCTGCAATCTCAATGTATGTTACATGCCTTTGTCATTACTTTTTAAGGTCTGAGTACTACATAATTTAAGCCTTACTTATAGCGGTAAATCTTGATGCAGTGGTTCATGCTATCTGATACCACAAGATGACCTTCAGGCAACAAAGCAAGACCTCTAGGGCTGCTGAGGCCTTGGGTAATAATTGATCGACCCACCCCAACAGCAGGGTAAAGCACCACACGATGCTGCTTGCCCCAGTCAGCCACCAGGACATCTCCATCTGTGTCAATACAAATACCCCAAGGGCTTGTGAGGACAGGCCCCATACCAGAGCACACACCCAAGATGCGAATGGTGTTCCAACCAGGTTCTAGCACTCTTATACAAGGCGCCCGTCCGGTTTCATTGCCCCTCTCGGACACAACCATCAGGCCTGTAGTTAGACATGCTGCAACCAGGTAAGGCCTGTGAAATCCCGTGACTACTGTGCGCTCCATCTTGGCTCCTGTCTTAGGATCAAGTTTGAGAGCTGTTAATGTACCACGTCGAATATCCGCCACTAGGAAGTCATCAAGCCTTGTTACAGTGACACCTCTTGGGGCCTCAAAATCCTGCTGAGAACCTGATGCTCCATAGGTCTGGAGGAGGCGGCCATGGCGGTTAAACACCAGTAGAGCCCGTTCCGCAGCACATGTAAGTGCTATCAGGCCCTTGGAGTTAGCAGCAACATCGAAGAAGTTGCGACAGTGTCGTGAGTTACCATCATAAGCTGGTGGAGCCACTTGTTGCACAACATTCCTCTGCAGGTCTGTTACCTGCACTCGGACATTTCCACAGTCCACCACAAACAGCTGGCCTTGAGGTGTGGCATGAACTCCACTGGGCAAAGTGAAGTCAGTGCGTCCAGAGCCCTGCTTGCCAAATTTCTTGACCAGATGACCAACTTTTAGAGTACGCCTCTCTTCCTCAACCTTAGGCAGCCCTGAATCTGCCCGTTCTCTTCTTCTTCTGTCTCCATTTTGGTCATTCCTGGTTGAGCGCAAAGCTCTCCCTTCTATTGCAGACATGGACAAAGACCGGCATACTCTGTTGGAACCCTCAGAGGTGTTTTTCAGAGGCTGATCTTTTAATTGAGGTGTCTCAGATCTTTTAAAGCCTACCATATTTGACTTGGGAGTTGACAAGTTACTTTGATTTAACCTCTTCTGATGCTCTTCTTTACCATTGATTAAAGGGCGATCCCTGGTGGATAGGTCAGCTGTCGAGATAGAATGTCGGCTTTCTCCTTTCAGAGAGCTACAGCGACTACTTGCTGACCTGATTGTGAAGGTATAGCTGGAGTCCACGCTGTCTGCTGGAGAAGGGGATCGCCTTGGTACAGCAAACGATGTTGCACCATATTGTGGTTGCTCTTTGGAAGAGAGATCCAAGCAGCTATAACTTGACTTAGATCTAGCATAATCTGTTTTAGGAGCGTGATGCTCTGAGCCAGTTGTGGCAGGAGATGACATTCCTCTTTGGAATCCTCGGCTTCTCCCAGAGTCCTCGAGTCTACTTTCCTCTGGCGGGCAGGATGGCTCCTGGCTTGAAACTGGAACAAGGGTCCTTTGTTTCCTGTGACCTCTGGAGAACGAACGTCTTCTGATGCCGTTTCGTCCAGATCCAGGGCTATCTCCCTCTGATTCTCCTTGGCTTGACAATGGGTGGATTGCAAGAAATAGATCCTCTCCACGTGAATCAGAGCCAAGTGAATCCAAATCCTCCTCCTGGGAGGACTCTGAGGTGTCTCGCTTATGTGGCCAAAGCTTACGTGGTTTGGGGCTGGGTAACTTTACTTCATCACCTAACACATCTTCTTCAGCAGTTGATATGCGAATCTTCCTGACAACACGGCTACTCCCACTGTTTGTCCTTGAAGATTCTTTGTCCCCACCACCATTACAAGAGGCAGGGATCTGCTCAGACACAGCCACATGACTCTCATGTGCCATCTCACCAGTGTGAATGGCGCATTTCTGCCCCTGCGGTCCACAAACACCAACTGGAAAAGTCAAGCTGTGTTCCTGCACATTAATCTCTCCAAAGGGAACGGTATTGGGCTGGGGACTGGGCTGGAAAGTAACTTTTTTCAGGGAAAGTGAGATCTCCCATGGTTGCATTAGTTCTCGAACTCCTCTCAGTAACTGACTCTTGTTGGGTCCACTGGGGCATCTACCCCACATATGAATTTGCTCCTTCAGTTGGCTCATCTTTCGCAGTTGCCGATCCACCAGGGACTGCCCCACTCGAGCTGCTGCCGCATTTTCTCGTTTGAGCTGCTGTAATCTCTGTTGGGCTTCTCGATGGTCTTTCTCCACCTTCTCCAACAGGCGGCGCTCTTCTTTTTGAGCACCAAGAATAGCAGAATCAAGACTCTGGTTCACTTCATCCACTTCTGTTGTTTGTTGTTCTCTAAGACGTTGGAGCTCCTGCTCACCTTGTGTTAGGTCACATAAGGCCTGTGTTATCCAGGTAGGAAGTGAGCTTAGGCATAAGGACGAAGGATCAGATTTCTCTGGAGATGCAGTGGGAAGTCGCACAGGGCTGCTGTGCACCGGCTGAGATACTGTCCCAGAGAAGGATTTCCTACTGAAGTGTGATCCAAGGAGCATCATTTTGAGAGGTTTTTTATCAGTAATAATTACCAGCCTCAGAACTCCACCAATGAAATTTCTGTATTGAAGCAATTAAAAAACAATATATTAGACAACTTTGACAGATGACACTAATTGATACAATAAATATATACAAAAACTGAACATTTACATCTGAACACTTACATTGCTTGATGAAGATATCAATAAGTATTTAATACATTTTACTGTAGTACATAGCATTACTACAGTGGCATAACTAATAAGGATGGGGCTGTTGGGGAAGACTGCACAAAGACCACTAAGCTTAAAATCTTTATTGAGCCCCTCTTGTAGAGTACTGTGCAAAAGTCAGAGACCACACATTTCTTTAATTTACAGTCAAAACGGACACTATGAGCATGTGATTCTATTTCAGAAGATGTCAAAAAAAAAATAAATAATTGAAAAAACAGGAGTTTCCAAGACTGAAAATATCTGAAAACAGAAAAAAACATCCTTCCACTGTGAGAAGACAACTCAATGCTATGAGTCAGAAAGGATGTGTAGCTATAAAGAAGCCATGACTGTGAAAATAGACAAAAAAGAAGAAAATGTATGAATCAAAAAAATAATTTGTTCGTGTACTAGTGTACAATGAACTGACCAACCCAGAGTTCAGACATGAAAATCATTGAATGTATTTAGGATAACTTGGACTGTGAGAAGCAGGAAATGAAACTAACCAAACATCCCTGCAGATTTATTCAGAAAACTGAAAGCAAGTCTCCAGAAAGGAATGAAAACTGTTAATAGAGGCAAAGAGTGGACACACTTTATACTGAAAACTATATAGTCATATTATATATGTAGTTATTGAGGTTTCTGTCTATTTTTCTGCCAAATTTATATTTGTGCTTTTTCCTGACACTGACAAATGAATAATTTACACTTACACGGCTATTTTAAAATTACTGAAATTAAGGGTGGTCTCTTATTTTTGCACAGTACTGTTGATACTGACACAGTTGTGCAACCAAGATCCAATATCTTATCATCTATTTATCTCCCTCATGTCCATAATGCATCTTTCATGATCATTCATCACGACCTGCAACATGATATGTTCATTATATTTCTTTTAAAATCTTTAACAGGTTGTCTAACACAAACATACAGATTAACCTTAGATGCTAGTCTATGTTTGAGGCACAAAGATAGCAATTACATATTACAAATTCATTTTTTAATTCAATGAAATGTTCATAAGGAGGGCCCATCTGTTTTTTTTTCCTTTGCACCCGGGCCCATAAGGTCCTAGTTACACTGCTGTGACTACACTAGTTTTTGTACAGTGGACATTATGAACAGTGATGTCCTCTATCTTGGTTTCCTTGTTGCATTCTACTGTAACGTCCACTACTGTCCAACACAGTACTCTGTGACAGCAAAGCTCCAAGGTATCTTTTCATGAGAACAGTCCTCTGTTGTTTAATAAGTCACACAATCTCCTCTGCTAACCACTGGGGGCACCTTTATCTAGGACAATCCCACAGAAAGGCACTTAACCCCCTGAGTGATACCATGGGTGTTGACTGATGAGTGACTCTCTGAACAGTTTTTTCACTTCATGCGGCTGTGCTACTATAAAATCTCCCCTTCGTTCTAAGATCCATCTCATAAACAGTAGGAATGTACTATGCATATCTCTCTCATGCCCTACTTGGAAAGCGCTGCCCTGGGTCTGCAACAACAGAGCTTTCTCAGTGATGAAAGGTGGGTGGTATCAATTTACCAAGGTGTTCTCACAAAAAGAGTCCCCCTGGAAACACATGACCCCTGATACGGAATGAACGAAAACATCAACTAATTCATGCAGGCTTGCACTCCTGATTCTCTAACACTCTCAAATACTGTTTATTGGTGGATGTACCAGCAGTGGGGTCCAGAAGTCTGACACCACATTGAAAATCTGTAATTCTTTTCAAAATTTGTGACACTGACCATGTTAAGATCTTTACATCTTTACATAAAACGGTTGTTTTTTTTTGCCTCATCTCTTCCATTGAAGCTCACGTTAAAGCGATTCTCAGGTAGATTTAATCTACTCATCAGAAGCTTCTGCACAAACTTGTGGATCTTGAATGCATGCTGGCATTAAACCCCTCAAATATCCAGGGCCCACCAGCAGGCCCAAAGTTTTATTACACACTTGTATAACTTAAGAATAGCTTAAGCAGTTTGTATTGAAGCCCCTGTAGTTACTGATCAATAAGCCTTTGTAGGTAATAAACCTGGGATTGTAAGGAGTTAAAGCAAAAGATGATATACTAATTACTAAGAATTTCTGAAATGTGTGTAAATGTATCAAAGATGACAAAAAAAGCAAAATGGAAGCATTTTCATTGGTGGTCTCAGACTTTTGGACCCCACTATGTCTGTATAGGTATATTCATAATGAAGACCTGACACATGGGTTTCATAGATAAGAACAATGTAGAGTGACTTGCCTATGCTGGGTTCTGTATTACCAAAAGATAATTACACTTGTATGCAAAGGTTTTGGCACCCCTGGTCAAATGACATTTTGTTTCTAATTGAAAAGAGGTTAACATGTTCTCCACAGAGAATACGCTTCTTCACATTTTAATGCACAGTTACCGTTTATGTACCCTAATTTAACATAAAATATATTTTAAAAACATGGTCTGCATTTTTCCAATAGGTTAAACGCCAATAAAAATTATTTTTTTATTTTTAAAAGTATTTTCACTTAGAAGATCGACAAAACATGTAATTTGACTGGGGGCGCTCGTACTTTTGGATATGACTGTAAGAAAAAGAAAAATCCCATACAAGAAGAGGACAGGCTTATATAAATATTAGCAGAGAAAATGTTTCAGTGCATTTGGTTCTCTCCAGTAACATATATAGTAAGTAACGCATTAAGAGTCAATAAGGTAATAGAAGTATGTTTGTATCTCTATATGGAACAAGTGCATTTGCAAATTCTTGTGTTGAATGAATAATTAACTCTGTAAATGGGTCTGTTTTTTTTTCTCTGTGTTAAAATGCCACTGTGTGCCACTGAAACAAATCCGCACCTCCAGCACAGCCACCAGTGACCGATCAGATTACTTCACATTAAAGATGAATGAGGGCTCGGATTGCTAATGTACCAAACAGCCTGCATAGCATTAGTGTGTGGATCAAAGAAAATATCAACATTGGCTTTGCTGTGGGGAACGTGCCATTATAAGCATCCTAGGCAACCATTTCAAACAATATGGAATATTGCTTAACAGAAATGAAGCCATCTTTTGGTTTTAATTTAATAACGTTTCAATAAAAGCAGTTTTTTCTAGAGGCTTTTTAACTTTTTAACACAGGCAGTTGTTGGCATTTCATGCACCAGTTAATTCAGTGACAGAATCATGTACAAAGAGATATTTCTGTCGGAAGTGCTCAACAGATGGCATGAGTCTCTGCAGCTGGCACAATTCCTTTTAGCAGCAGGCATTTTTAACAATATACAAAAATATATGCAAACATGCAGCACAACATTTTTCATCAGCGCAGAGCAAAACATTCTTACCTGATCACAGGTGTCCCTCACCTGCGCCACTCAGACGATGGATGGTCTGGGTTCACATTAGAAACTCCGCCTTCTTTTTTTTCATTCTGCATCCGCCCACAAACTCTCATATTACTTACCCAGACACCTCCTCTCCTCGTACTGTCCTGTACACGTCCTACAGTCATTTAGAGCTCCTGTTTTGTGCTGTATAAGACGTCAGTGTGATTCCTTTATTGATCCTCTTTATTTGTTTTCTTTTGTCTAGTATTGTTGTCTTTAAGGACATTATCACCAACTCCTTGAAATCCCAGGCTTATTACAACCTAAAGCTTATTTTTCAGTAATTACGTGGACTACAGTACAAATCAGCTGAGTTATTCTTAAGTTGTAGAAGTGTGTAATAAAGTCTGGACCTGCCAGCAGGTGCTGGATATTTAAGAGGTTAATATGTTGAATTGGAATGTTTTTTCCCCTTTAATCTGTACATTTCCTTCCAAATAGAGCGATAGACTGAGACTACCACCAGCAATCATTGTCAACAAGTGCAGCAGTTCATAAAAAAAGCCCTTGTTTTAACAGACTCTCCACTAGATGGCATCAAACAGTAGGCATTCTCTAACTCTGTTGCATTATTGCCCAAGTCAGAACTGTTCACAGTGGTGATAATAGCAAACAGACATATGAAGCATTTAATGCCTCTAAAAAGCTTATTCACAGAAAGTTATTGCATTAAATGGCAGTGAATATGTTGTCGGATGCCTAGATATGGTTTTATAATAGTTTAGGATAAGCTTTAGGCCTAAAGTGTATTTTTAAAATATATTCAGGTTGGAGAGGTACACGCCAACTGCTGTGAAGCAAAATGTACCCAAAAAACTTAAAAGACATATAGGTTCACTTGTGATTTTGGATAGTAAATAAAATGGCTATATTTGTGTTGTAAACTTGTAAACATCACAACCCCTGGTTCTTATCACCACCACTGTGAAGAAATCTGAGCTCATAGGTTTCTTTGCAATGAACCATTTCATATTAAACCACTCTGAATGACTCTGTTTACATCTCAAAGATTCAATTATATAGAATTTTGGAAAATCAACAGAATTCCTTTCACACCTCGCTCTGTTATGTGAATATTTAGTGCCATATTTAGTGTAACAGATTTAATTGGTTTATGTTTTTGTAAATGGGTGAAATTGATAGAAATGGGTGAAATTACTACTTCAGACAGTTTGCAAAGTGATTATCATTTGCTTCTTCCCAATGATACTGAATTCCCGTTCTTACCTCTGGTTTCCAGAAGAGGGCAGCTGCATCCTACTGTGATGTTAGACACAGTGATTGCAGAGCAGCTGAATCTAATCTATCTGCCTCTTTAATTGCTGTCTCTCATCCACTGTCTGTTTGGTAGATGGTGGTTCAGCAAGGTTAGCCTCCAGGTCTGTCATGCTGAAATCCAATTTCTGTTCAATATTTGAACTCGTGTTACACTGTATTTCATTCTGTTTTAAGATTTCTAATATATGCATGAAAGTTTCTTCAGCTTTTCTATTATGGGTACACTCTGAAGAGGCACTCTACTTCCTGCATGACTCTTTATAACTACATCACTTTGAAAATTTGATTATATTGAAAGATTCTTCTATAAGAAACCAGAAGTGAGCATGTTTATATAGCAAATATAGTTCTAATAAAATAGTGCCAATAAAAGGTTCTGTCTTACAACAGCAGTGGAACACTTTTTGGTGCTATATAGAACCATATACAACAGGTTTTCCATCATAGAGATGCATTTGAATGGTTCTTTGAGTTGTCATGGGTCTACATATTACCATTGTCTTTACTAAAGAACAATTGAAAACCACTTTTTTATGGGTGTATGACATCTAGAAGAAATGTGACTTCAGGGAAGCGTCTTCCTTGTTATGAGGAGCAGGTTTTCCCTAAATAATAATTAGACAGTTTTCTTTTCCAAACTACACAAGCACATTTTGAAAATCTCTTGGCCCAAAGCAGGTTTAAACAGCTGAAGCTGAGTGCTGTATATATGTATGTATGTAGGTATTTAACCTTTATCCCAACCAAACAAGCTATTTACAAACTCCTATCTAACAATGGGACCTGGCAAGAGCCAAATGACACTTGTAGGGAAGAAGGAGGCAGTGAAAATGAGTGGAAACAGAGATGGGTGCTGACATCACAGCAAGAGAATACCATGGGTGGGCTTTGGCAGTCCTCCCAATGCACAAATGTCACAAATATTTACACATTTGAGATTGTTTTCCTCAAAATAAACATGGTTAGCCTTTAATATGGTGAGTTATTGCACAACTTCATAGAAAATTGTCCTATTTATGTTAAAATAGTTTGCAGTATACATTTCAATGCTTTTAGAGGAGTCTGTCTTAAGTAGATGTCCTAGAACTTAAATGCTTCTGTGAGTCTGTCTACATTATAGATGGTGTGGTTTCTCAGGTATGGTCCTTTTTGGAAAAATGTGATGGTGAACTTTTAAATCATCAATCAGGATCATTCATTATTCATCCTCTAATTATTTTGTCCATCTGGCAGGCTTCTTGATGAAGAGGCAAGAATATGACTCATATGGTTAAAATAAGAGTCTGTGGCATCATTCAGCCAAACAAGATTAAACCATTTGTTCTTCATCTAATTCAGCATTTGTACGTTTCATGTCACTTTTTAAGGGTGCAGGAGGTTAGCGGGCCTTGCTTACTCACAATCTGGCTTTTTCCCGTATCAAACGAAACTATTTGCATGTGAATGATGACTCCTTCATCATTCTTTTCCATCTGGTCAGTGTGCCCAAAGCATTTATACCAGGAATACAAACAGGTTCACAGTAGTCTATTCTAACTTGTAATATAGTCTTAAAAATAAAGGTTCCTTAATGGTTCTGGGCTGTTACGTATGGTTGTAGGAGAAACAAATAATTGGTATAAAAGCTCTACATTATCTGTAGATTCTTTAAACTTTATAATAGTTCAATCTCATTTAAGCTAATGGTTCCTTCGAGAGCCAAAGCTGGTTCTTTTATGGCATCACTGCAGAGACCCCATTTTGGCACCTTTAAAGAGTATTTTTAGAGAGTGTTAGCATTTCTTTTTAACAAAATTCAAAGGACTCTGTGTGTCACCTCAAGCCATTTTTATATTAACAGAGACAAAAGTAAGTCATGTTTTTTACAATTTGTATACACATTACAATCAAATAAAGGGATTCTTTTTTGGCATCACTCCCAAGAACCATTTATGCTTCCATTAGACATGTTTATTTTTAAAGTTAACCTGAAATCAAAACTGACCTAGAGATGAAGCACCTCATGAACTTGGCAACTAATTAACTAACTTACTATCTAACTGACTGATTGTCTGACTGACTCATTTACTCACTCATTCCCTCATGTTAAGCAGGTTGAAAAATCCCCACAAGGGGGCACCATTAGCAGTCAAATCGCTTTTGAAGCTTCATAAGAGCAATCAGTGCTTCACATCAATTACAGTCTGTATCCTTGTTACATTGTTAGTTCATGTCCATGGTCATTTTAAGCATAAGGCTACATTTAATTTTAATTAGAACAAAATTCTTTTCCCATAATCTTAAAATAATATTAACCAAATATATCACCCCAACTACCCCTGACTGAAACACTCAGCTAGTTCAGCTTGCCACTGAAGAGCCTTCAGGAAGAATAAATGGGCTTTGCGTAGTTCTCAAATAACATTTTCCAAAAGTGTGAATATATTTGTTTTGTAATAAATTACAGTGACAGAACATTTACCTGATTTAGTTTTACCACGGATATGATTTTTGACCTTGTGGTTATGGATCTGAGGCACTATTCTGATGTCACAGGCTCCTAAATACTTTAAAAAATCACTTTAATAATCTCAGTAATGCTACAATTCTTCAGATTCCAGCTGATGTATTCCAATTTAAATAGTTGGAACCAAACACTGCACCCTCATCAAGTTTGTGCCGGAACCATGTCTTTGAATTACGGACAGAATAGCTCATGGCTTAAACCTACACGTGATTTTCTCCTGGAGTGAACAGCCTTTAATATATTACTATATCACACTCACATTAACACATTATTAAATCACATTAAATCACATGGGCACATAATATGGTGTCACATATCATCTGCTTACATTAACCAATCTAAATTGAATTTAAATCAGTTAATACATGAGCACTTAGCAGATTAATTTGCTGGGAAAGGTCATACTCACTATGTCATATTTATATTGCCAGAGTTCAGTAAGCTTAGCAGATAGACTTTCAGCGTAGTGTGGCAGATGATTCTTGAGTAACACAAGAGAAAAAGGAATTAAGGGCAAGTATTCTGGACACAGATTAAGGCTGATCCTAATGGACAAATCCATTTAGATTTTTCACACACACACCGATCAGCCAAAACATTATGACCACTCACAGATGAAGACAATAAAGCAGGTTCTCTTGTAACAACAGTGTGCAAACAGTTAGTTCTGAATGAATTTGACAAGAGTCATTATGCCATAAATCATTATGGCTAGACGACTGGGTTGGAGAATCTCTGAAACAGTAAGGCTTATGGGATACTCCTGGTCAACAGTGGTGAGTGCCTACTCACAGTGATCTGAAGAGGGACAAACCACGAACCGGCGTCAGGGTGTTGGACGCCTAGGGCTCATTGATGAGCGAGGACAACGAAGGCTATCTCGCCTAATCTCAAACAACAGAACGGCTACTCTGGAACAAGGCACAGAAATTTTTAATGATCCTACAGGAGAAAAGTGTCACAACACACGATACATGTCACCCTGTTGTGTATGAGGCTGTGAAGACACAAGCCAGTCAGAAAGCCCATGCTAACCTCTGTCCAAAAGCACTTACAGTGGGCACATGAGTGCTGGAACAGGACCTGGGAGCAATGGAAGAAGGTCACTTGGTCCAATGAGTCCTACGTACTTTTTACATCACGTGGATGGCTGAGTATGTGTGTGCTGTTTACCTGTGGAAGTGA